GGAAGGGTTCCCTGAGCGAAGAAAAACTACTTGTTTGTAAGCTTTCTTCTGTTTATATTCTGTCTTATCTGGCTGCTTCCAGGTTCTCTATTTAAAAAATTTAAAAAAAATTAGTATAATCTTGAGACTTATTTTGAGGAGCTCACCATAAAGGAAACTTTGAAGCAGATCCACTTTAAAGTTCTGTTGTATATGCATAAATATAAACAAAATTGTCTAGAAATAGATCGTGTAAACTCATGTAACTTTATTATACAGCTGAAGCCTTCATTATTCCCAATTCCCTTTTACACTGAATATTCATCAGAATGCGTGAACAAAAGCAGTCATGTAAAATGAAAAAAAAATTATTACTTCTTTTGTCTTTTAGATTAGTGCTAAATAAAATTTAGGATATAAATTCTTTATATTCTCGTTTTGCTCATTCACTGATTTATACTAACACCCTCATTTTACTTGCATCAAGATATAATTCGGTAAATGACTGCATTTTACATATTAGTTAAAACATGCCTTTGGATTAACTCCCTTTTCAATTCCATGTATTTTCTTCTGTTAGCTTTTAAATGTTAGTTTTATGGGGTTTGGGGGTTTTTTTGCAAGTACTTTTGATATTTTGTAAGCTGGACCTGTGCAACAAAAGAATTTAAGGAAGTTCTCTTTAGGTCTCATAACAAATTGTTAAAAATGTGTTCATTTATTTATGCTAAATAGCCAGTCTGACTTATTCTTTCTTTGAACATACATACTGGTCTGTAGTATGACCATCCTAAAATAACGTTTCTCTCTTGTTTAACAAGGAAGAAGCGCTGTTTTAGTATTGTATCTTTACAGTATTAAATAGTTTTCCATTTTTTTAATCCCTTTTATTGAAGACTGAAGTTTTAAGGAAATTAAACTAATGGAGATTTCCTTCCATAATTTAATAGTCAGTTGCTCCAAATATAAAATTAGAATCCACAGAATTCTGAGCATGAGTCTGTCGCAAGGGCATGAGTTCTGGGACAATGGTTCCTGTTATAGGGTTCTGGCCAGAGCACTGTAATTTCCATGGTTTCACTTCTCTTCTAAATCTTTTGAAACTGGAGACATTTTTCTGTGCCTTAACTTTCTTTTTTGTCTTTCTGGGAAGATGCATGGTGGTACTGAATGAGAATACTATTCTAATTAATGAAGTAGACACTGAATAGCTGGATTTGTGTGTTTTATATGCTTATGTTTCAAATGCAAATTAGATAAAAGCTTGCTTTCACAGAATTAAATATATACTGTGTTACTGAAATATAGCATTTAATAATAAAATGGCAGACTTTTATGTCTTTTGATCACCAGTACTTCTCTGTCAGTGCATAGGGAAGGATGCAAGAAAAATTTAAAAAGATAAAAGAAACAGAAAGAAAGCAAAAGACAGTGTTAAAATCATCATATTCTTTAGGGTTTGTATCATTATGCAATATGAAAATATGGGTACAGAGGCAGTGCTTCCAAGACCTGATAAACCTGTTCTGCCATGGAGGGAGTCATTCCGTTTTCTGTTCCATACAGCCACCTATGCTGGGTGACAGCCATGTGTTCCACTTCCATGCCTCAGAGTTCAGATATCCCAAGGCAGACTAGAGCATCCTGCTCTAGACATTCAGTGCTTTTCAGGTTTTGCTTTTGTTTTTAGTAAAGGCCAGATGATGTAAGAGGAAATGTTATGACCAGAGACAATGAAATGTTGTTCTCTGTTGCTTTTCAGTGCTGTTGACATCTGTTGTAGAAGCGATTTGACATACTGTACAAAATAGAATTGTAAATACGCTATTCTGCCTGTCACAGAGTGCTTGCTGATGGAGCTGTGAGTAGGTGCACAATGAATCATATCCTAAAATAAAGATCCCAATGCACAAAATAGCACATCTATTAAAAAGTGCTTTGCTCCACCCTCCTGTCCAGAATATTAGAGAGTTTAATATAAACCAAAGTATACATTTCTGTATACTTTGCTAAGTATACCAAAGAAAGAAACATTTCTGGTTTGCTTCCCAAGAAAAAGCTAACAATTAACTTCCTCAAGCTAGCAGTGTTTGCACTTCATGCTTAGGAGTATTGCTTGAATTATACCAACAATGCAACAGGACAAAATCATTACAAGTCTGCTTGGATATTTAGTGTTTGGTGGGTTTTTTTCCTCCTTGATATTTAGTTAGGCAACTTCTGCTTTGAGGGTAGTGCTATAGCAAAGTCCCTCTGTTGTATCTTCCAGTCTGCATAAGCTGCAGACTCCAAATTAATCTTTTTAGCTGGACTCTTTGGAAGGGTCTACAAACATGAACTTTCTTGTTTGCTCTTAGAAGATAAATTTATCCCATCTTATCTGTACTCCAAGGCAGCTGTCAGGCTCATCTTTGCACAGAGTGCAGTGGTGAGCACAGAGTACTCATGCAGCTTTTCGCTTGTTGCTTCACTACTTAATCTCTTTAATGGTTCATGCAGAATTATACTCACAGAAATGAAATCTTTTTTAATCAGATTGTGTGCAGATGCAATCCAAGCAGAAGATACCATTTAACACATCCTTCCCCCCCAAAAAACTTAACTAGCCCTCTATGACAATTTGAAACAGTTCTATATGAATTAATTTTGTGTCTATGTGAATCTGAAAAGAGATTGAGTAGTGCTAGTGAACAATAAGCGAAAAATATTCTTCTTCTGGACCCACTGAGTGTACTGGGGAAGAAAGGTGACAGAATGCATCAAAAAGTGGCATAGAGAAAAGGGATGTGGCAGCAAGGAACAGAAGCCTAACAGCTGAAGCAGCGATTGAAACATGGTGAGGGTGATCAGGCAGTAGATCCACAGCCAGCTTTTTGTGCTCACAGATGAAAAAATTCCTAGAAATCAGCCCTGCCATGCACTGACACACGAGCAGTTGGGTACTTACAAGTTCTTTAATTTTCATATTGTCTTGCATAGTACTTTCCAGAGTTTTCTCTTTTAGTTTATTGTTGTACATTCTCTAATGAAGCATAGATATTCCAAGTTTCAAAGTTGTTTTGAACCTCCTTATAGGTATCATGTAATGGAAAGGTCCAAGCAGATCTCCCTTAAAGCCTTATATTTGTGGGTCGTATGTTTATATTTTAAAAGGTTCCTATTGGAGTATTTTCCACATTGTAACTCTTTAAAACAATTGCATTTTTATAGATTTAATTGGTGTAAGAGTAACTTTTGAGTGTTTCTGTCTGTTTATATGGGAAATATAATATGCTCAGGTTTAGAAGATTACATCCCATTTTAAATATTCACCATAGCCCTATCTTTAGGAGGAGGCAAGGTCTCAATCTATCAATAAATGAGCAGCTGCCCTACCCCTTAAAAATTTAAAAAGCACATTAAACACAGCCAATTCAAAATGCTCTGGAGGGAAACACTAGAAAAATTATTTCCAACACTTCTTGCTTGATATCACAGTGGAGCCTCTAACATAGTGGGAAGTCAGAACTGGAAAACATCAGTTTTGAAAAGATGATTTTACTTTGTCGTCCTTATTCAAACTCATGAGTAAATAAAATGCCCAAGAAGAAGAACAGAGGATACCTGGACATTTCCCCTCTGTTATTGGTAGTCCAGAGATGTCTGGTAAATAATTACTTTCTGTATTTTCTGGACATTATTAAAATCATTCCCCACTTCAGTTGTTTTAGAATTTCGTTAATTTTTGATTTTGCATTCATACTTTTTTCCCCAAGGTTTCTGCCATTTTATCTTTAAATTTGCTTTTGCTGCACTATTTGACCTTTCTAAACCTTTACCAAAGTATCTTTTAATATTTCATATGTCAAAACTCCTGTTCATAGAATCTTTTAGGTTGAAAAAGATCTCTGCTATCATGAAGAGTTCCACATCTGTACAAGTATTTTAGTTATTTTTCTTGTTTTCCACATAATCACAGTATTTCAGATAAATTCTATTTTCTATACAGGCTAGAATATTCTCGTTTCCTAAATACCCTTTGCTTACCAAATCCTTATCACAGTCTTTAAACATCTCACACACTTGAAAAATATCTGACAGGACCAAATGTCTTCTATGTCCTTTTTAGTTAGATAAATTACTTAAACTGATACCTGATAGTGTCTTCTCCACCACTGTGTTGTTTTGTACTTTGAGCAATAAGCAGATGTTCTTGAAATCTCACAGGCACACACCAAACTTTTGTTTTTAAAAAAAAAAAAAAAAAAAAAAAGGGAA